TTTGTTGTGATTTGTTTATAGATCAGTTGGCTGTTTTATAGAAATAAACACATTTTAATAATGTGTTCTCATACCACCAGGGACTATAACTCTGGACCGTTTTCTTTGTTTCAAGAACCCGTAGAACACTGAATGAATGAATTATAATACATCATGCCTCCATGGGGTGAAATATGAAGGACCCTGAAATTGCATTGTGTTTTTGTAGTCCAAAACAGGGGCAAGTGGTTGTCTCTAAACATTTAATCCCAGATCATGTGCTATTTTGAAGAAGAGAGAAAAAGAGAGAGAAGAAAAAAACGATATAAAAAAAGCATTACTTCTTCTTTGAAGCATTAATGACGGATGTAGAATTTTGCAGGGGAAGAAAAATCAATTCTGTTTTCCAACCTCAAACTTGAGGCGGCACACGAAAGATATACAAGCTTATGAGGTATGCAGCGAAGAAAAGTGTTAAAGCAAAGAATCCCAGCTCTGTATTTGGCATGACTTCAGTGCGATGAGATTTTTTTTTTCTTTTTTTAAAACAGATTTGAAGGAAAAAAAAAAAAATCAATAACATCTGTGGTATTATGGTTAATTAAAAAACCTCTTGAATGGAGCTGAGAGATGAGAGGTCTGACCAAGGAGTAAGAGAGCTGAAACCTGATTAGCCACAAGAAACGCTTTTTTAGATCTGAGTGGATAGGCCAGAGACTGCTTCGCAAAAGGATATGGGGGAAAAATAGCTTTTACTCTAACTTTCTTTAAATAATCAATACACCCCCATTACAGCCATCCTTATTCTACTCCAATATTCCGCTCTCTGTTGGTTGTTTTCCAGTCTTTAGCTTTTAAAAGCTTCAAACAGAAATGGAATGTTGAATTTTTACCTTTTTTTATTTTATTTATTATTTTAGATGGCAAACTGCTTCAATACATATGTATCAAAATCATATACAGAAATCTCTTATTGAGAATATAAGATGAAGTTCTAATTACTTAAACTGATTATAGCTATAGGGTTTTCTAAGCAGTTAAAGGTAAATAATAATTAGTTTGAGAAAGACATATGATTAACAAATTAGAATTATGTAACGCATCTATCAGTTTAATAAATACACATATGAATTAAATATTGATGTTGTCTTACCACAGCGTGGGCGTTGACTAGTGTTCATTTTCTATCCTAACGGGAATCGGCAGGCGTCAGCGTTTATCAGTGATGAGAGCAACCATTGGAGCTATGGAAACATTCAAAGACTATGTTTTCTAATGGCAATTTCGCAAGATATCGATTTGTCCATCAGGCCACTGGGGTTCTTGCCTGTGATATAAGTTTGGATTCTACCATTATCTACTAGAGATTGCAGTCCTCATGATCCTAAAGGAGATATAGTGGACCTCGTGAGGGATGAGGTACAGACCTCAGAAACACAGATACAGAAACTTATGGACTCTGATGCTTTACTATGGAGATATTAGATGACAGAGCTGGTTGACCGAATAGGAAGCGAAAGGAGGCCTAAGAGAAGCACATTGATCCGAAAGGGGGAGAAAATCCAATTTGATGAGTTGTTTTTTTTTTTTTTCAATTTTGCCACAAAATGGGAAAATCATTCCATTTTGACTGCAAAATGGCAATCCGATTTTTCTCCTTTGATTAACATGCTATTTTCTGACATATTAAATCAGAACTTGTGAATAAATGCTGTAACACATCAAAAGTTATATATATATATATATATTTATTTATTTATTTATTTTTCTACGCTAACGTCCCTGAACAATGACAGCATAAGTCACAGGTGATGGTAAAAATCCAACCAATAATGTTTTATTCTTTACAATTGTATGGAGTATGTTGTATTAATGAACACCTGGTTCCACAGACGAGCTTTCAAATGGAAAAGGTGTTTTTTCATTTTATTTATTTGTTATTGTCCGGGAATGAACTGCATGCTTAGTTTGAAATTATTGGGCGAGGCACAAATATTCGTAGTTCGGGAGTATGAAAGGAATTGGTTATTAGTTAGAAGGAAGAGAGTTTTTATTGATTTGATATAGAATATTTATATAAATTTAAACTACAACAAATATATATATTTTTAATTTACCATATTTGTTTAAATTTGATTATTTTGTTTCTTTAGGATATGATAATAGCAGATTTTACCAATATCCACATTTTATCAAATGTTGATAACTGCATTTGTTCTTTTTATGAAATATATTGAACAGAAATATTAGCAGCCAGCAACTGGCTAAAATGTCAAGATTAACTGAAAGCAGCTCTGTTGCTAAAGATAAAATTGACCTAATCTGCTCATATATAGCCCCCTCTGTCTAAATCTTTTTATATTTATCCTTGCCGGACTAGCTTTCTTGACAAACAAAATGAAAATAGAAACTACTTTTCCTTATGTATAGCAGTCAAGTTGACAAAACTTGACAATAGGTTGAGATTAAGGTTCTGTTATGGCTACCAATCAAATTTACTCACAATGCATCAGAGAGGAGAAGAGAAGAAAATGGCTGAACCCAGATACTAAGATCTTGCACATGGAAGAATACGTAATAAATAATATATAAATTAAAAACCTCTCTTACCTCTTGTATTTGTTTGTGTATATTGTACGTTTCTCAACTAATTGTACAGCGCTGCGGAATCTGTGTGCGCTTTATAAATTATAATAATAATAATAATAAATGCAAACCGCAAATTTATTTAGAAAATTGGGCAGAATAGATGGGCAGAATCTGCCATCACATTCTATGTTTAAGGGTGAGGGTAATATAATAAGATATAATTAAGATACATAAAAAAAGTAGTTAAAAAAATAAATAAAAAAATTTGCCTATAAGGTGTCATCACTATATACTGGTATCATAGCAACAAACCGCATAACTATTTGCCTGTAGGTTAAACCAATGACTTTGCAATTATGACATCACATAGCAGTACATTGAGAGGCATATACAGTGCAAGTTGCAGTCATTCCGTCCTGTCCGATAACAAATGCAATCAATTTTTGCTGTTGCAAGCAAATTTAACTACAGGATCATATGTTACATTCTTCTAGGTTTGATTAGAAGATGCATTATAACCTTTGAGGACAGCTGGCTTCCATCAACAGCAGAAATGCATCTGAAGGTATAGTAGATTGACTTAAACTGTTGGCTTACACATGGACTAATAAATCTCACCGTAATTCGTGCCATTAGCATCTAAACATAGAAGTTATGGGATATGGGGGGTGCTTGAGAAGTTCCTGTAGTGTTTGGAGGTCCCAGACCCAGCTTAATATGAACCACTCACATACATCACTCATTTATTTATTTTAAAATTCTTTATTTTAGGATTTGGTGAGAATACATATAGGAATACATAAATGCTTGAGATGTGAGTAAGGAGTCACGTCATTGCCGTTATAAAGCTCAATTTATTGCGTTTACAGAGGCATAAGTTGTGGCAAAAGATATCAACATTCTATATGGAGACCTGTGTATCACATACATTTTAGAGGACAGTAACAATAAAACAACGTAACAATAAAACATAAACAAGCATCATTTGATGCAGAACGGCGTATCTTTATGTTCTAGATTTTGGAGGTATTGGATACCTCTGTATGTAAGTAGGAGTACTAAGCTGTCTGCAGGGTAGAGTATTATGTACCGATCATGATGTCACATGGCAGGGTACTTGGGCTAATTTGAGGGTATTTGAACTTTCCTTTTAATAGAGTGGATATGCAATTCGGAGACTAGAAAGTGGTGGTACCCCCATCGGGTTGTGTCGTACATTGTTGTCCGTATCACGGTTTGATTACCTGATTGCGTAATGGCAGAGCCTCTAAAAATCAGAGTATTGGTGATACATTGGCTTGTGTTGTACTGCGTGACTTTGAGAGAAAAGTGGGTCACTCAGGGGCGGAAGGAAGGGGGTCTTTGCAGGGGGTGGAAGGGGAAGGGACGTTTGGAATGAGAGAGGGAAGGGACGAAGAAATTGGGTTAAGTGGCCTATGTAGGCGCGCTGTCACGGAGCGGGGGAGGGGCATGAGCCCCTCTCCCGGCCCATTCCCCCTGGCCACAGTGGCCTCCCCTAGGTCACTGGATGTTTGTGGATTCCGTCAACCAAGGGTCCCAGATTTTGTGGAAGTGGATTGTGGTGTCATGGATCGAAGCTGACATCCTGTCCATCTCTACGGCATCCCGTATTTTCCGCTGAACTTCCTGTTGGAATGTCTGGCCTGCCCCAGTGTTCTGCCATGGTCCTCCTTGTGGCTAAGGATATCTTGGCTACTAGTTTGTTTTGAGTTCTAATCAGATTGGACTGGAGTTTTGACAGTAACCATATCCAGGGCTTAGTGGGATATCTTTTTGCAGTATTTTGGATGTGAGCTGGGAAACACTCTGCCAGAGTTTTGATATTTCCGTGCACTCCCAATGTGACGGAACGCCGTCACTGAGTGCCATATCCCCATGTGTGCGCTGTGTATTTCTATGGGGGGAGATATGTGATGGATGGCCTGATTTGTTTGGCGCGGGCCACAAGCTTGTGGCGCCATTTTTGGGACTGTTTTACATGTGCCTGTATAAGCAGCTGTGGGTCAACAAAGGTGGGCGGGGGGAGCAGCTCTGTAAAGTATAGTTATGTGAAATGTATTGCTTGTATGTGCCTCTCCCCCTCCCCCTACCTTTTCCTGTCACAGCAAGGCATTGCCACAGGGACACTGCCAGCCCAGTTTGGCTGCTTTGTCCCTCTTCCATCCCCCATCAGCTTCTTGGGATTGAAACTCCCGTTGTTTTATGTTGGAGACCCCATGAAGGGGTCTGTGCCTGTAAAACCATGTGTGACACAGCTGGACCCGATGGTGGATTCACTGAAACAGGTAGGTTTTCTTCCTCAGCCCCAAGGGACATATGATCTGAAGGTCTGAGCAGTAGTGATGTCCCGAACGGTTCGCCACGGACGGCGAACATATGCGGTAAACTTTGACCCTGTACCTCACAGTCAGCAGACACATTCCAGCCAATCAGCAGCAGACCCTCCCTCCCAGACCCTCCCACCTCCTGGACAGCATCCATTTTACATTCATTGCGAAGCTGCATTCTTAGTGAGCTGTCCAGGAGGTGGGAGAGTCTGGGAGGGAGGGTCTGCTGCTGATTGGCTGGAATGTGTCTGCTGACTGTGAGGTACAGGGTCAAAGTTTACCGCATATGTTCGCCGTCCGCGGCAAACCGTTCGGGACATAACTACTGAGCAGTCTTCAGGAAAGGAAGCCATCTTTGGCTCATAGCGCTATGTTTCTGCTGTATAAGATCCCCAATACTAATGCCTCTGTTTCTTAGTCTTGCATCCCATGGTGTCTTTTTGTTGCGGGGTTCCACAAAAACTCGACTATTGTGGGCAAAAAAGATTTAGATAGGGTGTTTAATATCAGCTCTCAAATCTTGCAACCGTCCCCCAAAATAAATAGAAAAAAAATGCTGAGTAAATGTAATATTCATATTTGCTATTTGCTTTCTACGGTATAGACAAATACAGAGAAATAAGGTCATCAGTTTAGATTACTGATAACTGCTGAATCATCTTTACTCATTTCAAGAAATATATTTATGTTGCCCTTTAGGCATGGTTAGAGAAAGACACTTGACTTACAATCAAGGTTTATTTGTAAAGTCCTAGGTCCCTGTGCAAAATGAACTGTTTAGTTCAAGATCAGAGGTTTTGTCAATATATGCTTTGCAATGGACCTTGCATGCAGCACCCAGAGACTGTTATTGTAATTTATCTTGTATATTATCATTATTTAAAAAAAGCTGAGCAACCTTTCACAAATCAGTGTTGCCAATGTGATCTGTTAAAGTCAACTTAGGCAAAGCTAGATTCAGTCAGGTATAAAACCTTCTTTTTAAACCAGGAAGCAGTCAATATTTGCCTAAATCATGCCTAGACCATTGAGAATGGTATGGGGGCTGTGAGAAAGAGTGTAGGTGCTTTGGACTCCCTGTCAACCAGTGGAGACCAGGCTCCTGGTTCTCCAATTCCCATAACCCTTATATCATGGATTATAGGTTAACAGTAATATGTACAAGGGGAGAAAAACCAGAGAACTGTTACAGGAAAGTGAGTGACTCTGTGTCTGCCTCTCTGGAAACGAGTGGATACAGGGCACCAATTAGGAGTACTCGAAGAGGTAAAGTATGGTCACATATTTATAAGGGAATAGGGCATCCAAGAGGAGCACTCCCTCCCCTTTCAGTAGCAAGGACTAAGGGATTTGATAGGGAAGATCAAGAGATTAGAACACAAAAGGAACTACTCTGAAGAGTCTTCACGGTATTATTGCACCTGCAACTAAATTATGTGCTCAAACACTGTGAACATGCCCCAAAACATCTGGGTTGTCCTTTTTGCCACCAGAAAGTATCCCAGTGTGAAGGCAAAATAAAATGAGGAATAAAGGGAGTTATCCACACTGCCAATGTCAATGCATCCTGACCCTTAATCTTGCTGTGGGTACATTATATAAAGATCCATTCAAGTTGGACAGTCTTCTACAGCCAAAGCTTAGCCCTCATAAATGCCCAGTCCACCAAGTTGAAGGCCTTTGTGTCACTGGTAAATGAGATTAGCCTCTGCACTTGAGCTTGATAGATAATATTTGGTCTCTACCAGTGTTGTCTTTGGTTCCATGCTTGAAATAAAGCAGACCTTATCCACGTGGACTTGAACTGGGAGGAATTGTTAATTACTAAGGGACTAGAGTTTTGTGAGCAGATTCAAATCATAATTTAGCAATGGAATTAGCCAACAACTTACACAGACCACAGGATCCACCTTTTAGTGATATGAAATGTGTAATAGCCGAGCGCTAGGTGGTCAAGATCTTATGCCTCACAATTGTCCTGATTTCCGTGGGACAGTCACAATTTTCGGGTCCTATCCCGCCATCTTGCTTTTTGGGGACACCAGAGAACTCTCCCCAACAAGCATAGCATGAGCTGTGCCCTCAGTGGGCTGGCCTTAAAAGATAGGCAGACAGCCTTGCGTGCATTCACGTGCAGTCAGGATTTCCTGTAGTGCTACTCAAACTTGTCCAGGACCTACATGCACCCATCAATGCCAGAGAGCTCCATGTGCATCTCAATCAATTTGAAGAGGATGGTCACCTACTTTGTTGACAACAAAAGAAGATTTTGTGAGCTTGTTAGCAACAATGTGATAGCTTTTGTCCAAGCACAGACTCTCATAGTAGGCATTGAAGGTGGAAGTGAGACGTTTATGTAGCGTAGCGTATGCCACATTTTTATCTATAGGACTTAACTTTCATAGAAGGGTAACTGCACAATCAGGTCCTCTTGGGGTAATCGGTCTTCTGTCTCCTCAAGTTCTAAAGGATGATAGGGGAAGGCAGTTGAGGGCCAAATCTCAAATCAAGAGCCATTCAATTATCAGTTTATGCTCTGCAATGATCATGCCACACCTTCCCAATTCTAAGTTTTTACATATCTAAATGCCATGCTGTAATCAAGAGCAATTATCAGGTTGTGTGCATTTTTGGCATGTAGCCCATCATTGGAGCCTTGCGGTGCTTTCTGTGTGGGGGAAGGAGGGCTTCTGAAGGAGCACATGAGGATATGAAATGAATATAAAAAAAAATACGAATCAGGCACAAAATACAAATTTTTGATATAGTGATATATATTAATGTATATAGAGCTTGTCAAAACTGTTTTTCTTAAGCAACTCAAACTCACGCAAACTACTCATGGAGACCTAAACAGAAGATAATTTGGACCTGTGCACTCCTATGGTGGGTTGCAACCTTACAGCTCCATACTTTGCTATTCATAGGTAATGGAAAAAACCTTGGGTAAAGCACCCAGAAACCCAGAGTGTTGGTACCGTCTATCGGTTATTGACCACTATATAGCCAGGTTTTAGAGATGGTTTGGGTGGAGTTAGCATGATTTGGTTAATGAGGTGATCATAAGGTTTTGGTTGGTAGGGAGGGGGATGTGACTAGGACTTTGGGGTAGAGGGATGATGAGGGGATTGTGGGGTTAGGGGGAAGTTATTTTGGATAATGAGGCAGGGATTATGGGGCCTCAAATTTTTTTATTTTTTTTTAATGGCTTAGAGTCACATCTGATGCTATCCAAGTGGCTTGTGTTTTGAGATCAGTATCGCTAGTCCAAACCGTATTATTATTTATTCATTTTAATAATAAATAAACTACCATTTAGTAGAATAACAATGCCGCCTATACCATACGATTTACTTGGAAACTAATTAAAGATGAGTGGTTCCTGTCCTGTTTAAATAATTAAATTAAATTATTAATATTAATTTTGTGCCACTTTTAATGAATCCTTTAGTTCCATTAATCTTGTTGCAACGTTCTCCTTTATAATATTTTCAGCATTCCCTCGCTTTTAAATGCTACAGTACTAAAAAGCAATAGCACCATTGAAAAGATACCTCCTCCATTTACCAAACACTGAAGTAGCAGGACTTGTCTGTTATATGCAAAACAGTAGCAGCTGCTATGATAAATCTTCGAAAGAATATGCAACCCTTAATTCTCGAGTACACCATCGTGGGACCTGTACGTAAAATATTGTTTTAGCCAAGAATTAGATCCTTTGGTGTACTCGTATTTCAGATACTCTCTCTTCATCATCAATCATACAAAGGAAAAATCCTCATTTTTATGATCCTTAGACATGAGATGAAATGGAGTAGACACTTCTATACCTATGGGAGAAAATGTGTATTGCAGAAACAGCTTCTCTAGCTAAGGTAGTGTTAATATGAAAACACTTCAAGAGAAAGCTCTTGGCAACAATCCTTCAAACATGGACATCGGAGCACAAAAAAATGGGGGTTGAGAGTCAGTGAGAAAAAAAAAAAGTCATCTTCTAAACAATTAATTAATGTTTGCCATAAATTATCATCTTTTACTTCCTTCTCAAGAAGAGTAGAGGGAATAAAAAACAGCATTTTTTTGCAGGTGGTGGCATTCAAAGTGAGGGTAATCAGAGCATTGAGTGTGGAAGCACAGCACTTGCAGAGTGACTGGGTGAATTGGGCTGGATTAAAGCCCAGCAGGGTGCTGTGGTTTCAGGTTGAAAGCTGTGTGTTTGTGATCAGCAAGAAAAAAAGAAAAAGAAAATCTTGAATTTATTTAATCTGCTCTTCTGCTAACAGCACTTCTGTAACCAGTAACACTCCCATTCTCTCGTTCTCCCTCTCCAAAGAGCCCTTAGTGCCCTCCCTAGGACAACTCGTTCACCATCTCAATGCTAAATTCCTCCCACTCCCTGAAATCTAAGATTTACATGGAAATAGAAAAATGCACAACTTCACAGATGTATCAGCACCTTCAAACTTGAATTCTCACTTCGCTACGCATACAGTAAAATACAGTCAGTAACAAACAAAGGACCGTTTTATTGAACAAGCCCTTAACATTGATATCGTGTGTAAATATGACATGCTTGTAGGGATTTTCTATTCAAAAGGGAAATAATTCACAGGAAGTGAAGCATGACGTGATAGAGAAATGGTTATGGAATACAATTCTCCTTCAGGGGGAAAATGCGCACATGGGCAAAAGAATGGCCATTGCGTGCATTCCGTTCTTGGAATGTTCATGTAGTTTGTAAATAGGCTTGGGGTTGTATGTCACAGATGCCAAACAGAGACCCTGAGAATAATAGAAAATGGTTTTTGTCCTACATTTTGGTCCATCAGAGTATTTTTGTGTATCAGACACTTTGAATAAATGGATAAAAAGATTATTACATTAGCCAAGTATTCCTGTTCAGTGCTTAATTGTGGTATTGGTGCTTACAGACTATTTGGTTTGAAAGAATGAAATCACAAAAAAGCGTCATCTGTTGCATCATTAAAGGGAAACTATAGGCTAGGAATTAAAAATGGTATTCCTAGCCTATAGTGCCCCTACACCCCCAGCGCACATAGTTCATAGATAAAAACTATTTTGTCACATACCTAAATCCAGTACCCATAATGTCCTTCGGCGCTGGCTCAGGCTCTGCCTTCACTCCTCCTCCTTTAACATCACCTGGCGTTGGAGAACTAATGCTTTCCTATGGGGTTTTCGCTGATGCTGTATGTCCTCATGCATAACGTGAAGACATCCAGCGTCGTTCG